CCCTGAGCTGGACAACCCTGCCTGGGCTTTTAATGTATGTCAGTTGCAGCTCAAAATATGGATGCTGGGGAGTGAACTCAGATCAAAACATCTTCTTCACAGTAAATTATTTTTTATTTTAATGATCATTTGTGTTGTTATTTGTATGATCAAGACATCTCACCATATTTGCTTTTCATGACAGAAAGTAACACCGAGCACCTGTGCCATCAGTGGCTGGATACAAGTGGATGGTCTTGCAGTAATGGTTGAAATTGGGACTGATGGAAGTGTCTTTGTTGTAAATAGAGGAGGAGATGTCTTCCAAAGCTAAACACTTAATCTAGTCTGATAGCATTTTAACTAGCCCTGGCAGTATTTCTGTTCTTTCTTCTTTCTTTCTTTTTGCTTTGACTCTTTCAGTCTCTGTTTGAATCAGGTTATTATGTTTTTGACTCCTCTGTTGTTATCCATGCAATGGATCAACCACTATTTTGCTCTTCAACCTTAGAATGACCTCTCCACAAATGAATAACAAATTGCTCACAAAGGCAATTTTTGCTTAAATCTTTCTAGAAGCGACTTTCATTGTAATGATCACTGAGCCATAAAATGTTCATGTGTAGAATCACCAGTCAAATGCTAAAAAAGAAAACTAGTAATGTTTACTTATAATCATCATAGTTTCTGTACCTCAGAAATTATGCTGCTCTGGTTATCTTTGTCGTTACAGAATTTTCAGATTTCAGTTGTGGATTCTTTGAATGATCTGTCTCTCCTCTATAATACATTTAGGTGTTCACTTAAAAGAAATCATAGAAATCTCATTTTTCACATCTGTTAAACATATTTACCTCTTCCTGTCACGCCTGCTAAGGCAGACGGCGTGGAGAGAAGAGAATGCGGACCTAAATGCAGACAAATGGAGAGGGAGGTGGATGTTAACAGAAAGCAAGCCTTTATTTAGGGCTGCAACAAATATTACAAAACAAATGGCACAAAGGAAACTAACAAAACCTAAACTGGGAAACATAAAACTTGAAACATTGAACTAGAAAACCTGAAACCTGAAAATGTGGAGTGAAGAAGAGCAGAGGAAATGCAGACGACCCGACAAAGAACAAAGGAAAACACACAATAAATACAGAAGAGAGACACAGCTTAACCTAATCTGACACACGAGACAGGAAGGAAGCAAAACAGAAAACTCTAACACAGGACATGAGACTACCAAAGTAAAACAGGAAATACACGAACATAGAAACCTAGATAACTAGATGTAACACAGAACTTTACCAAAATCTAAAGACTAGGAATCACCAACAATACTAAGGAATAACCAAAGGAGCTAGAAATGCAACAGACTAGACCATGAGAAACCCCCAAATCACAGAACATGAAATAATCAAAAACATTATCACTGGATCACCAGACCGAGCAACCATGAGACTTACAACTCTTAACTCAGGATAGACAATATGGCGAGGAGCTGAGGCCAAAACCTCAATTGCACAAATAAAACAGATCCAATGATTTAAGTATCAATGTCTTCTCTCTACAGACAAGGCATCGACAGCAGCACTCCACAAGGCACGAGCTGGACCAAATTACCAATGCCCTCTCGCATCAGCCATGTGAGCTATGATCGTGGCAATCTGTGGGTCGTGACTGACTATGGGACCATCCTGAAATGTTCATACTAGTGGTTGTAGTGTTTTCTCTTCTGTCGCATAAAACAATATAAAAACTGATCAGCATTATGTCAACAATGAAAAATTCACGTGGGAAAATAATTGATTGTTTTATTGTGATTACAACTTAAGTGATTCAGTAACAACATGCATAACTACTAGAATGCTGTCAGATATTTACTTCTGTATCATTCACCTGCCATTCTTTCATAAACTCTTGATTCGCTGAGACTGTTTGGATTCAGATTTTTATTTTTGCAAGTTGTATTCAGCACAGCTACTGGCTTTCCTGTCACTGTTTTGGCTCTTTGCTTTGTGATCATTGCACATAGTAGACAAGCTTACATGAGATTATGATGGTGTTATATACTCATCACTTTAACAGGGTCCAGACCTCTGGTGTTCTTTTATTATAAATCCCACTATGGGAGATGCACAATGCAACAACACCTCCTCCTCCACAGCAGAGTAGCTGCACCCATTTCCCACCTCAGTTCAAACAGAAGTGCTTCACATTGACCCGTAAATGTCATAATTATGTCAAAGTCAAGAATTTGTTACTTTTGATGCTGAATCTATAGATGAACTAATAGTAAAAGATGGTAGGCTAGTTTGAACCATAAGTCATTTACAGTTTGTTCATGTACTTATAGCTTACAAGCTGATGTCCTCATGTTTCCTATTCATGTTTTACATCACAATGACATGAGGCTACATCTGTTCTGCAACATGTAAAAAGTTCTGTTA